GTCTAGTCTAAGCCCTGTGATAAAGAACTATTGGACACAATGGGACCAGTTGAAGTTTGAAGAGGGTATTCTTGTCCGGAGAGTCACCTACGACACAGATTTTACTGAATAGGTATGAGACAAGATGTGGAAGAATGGTGCAGAACATGCAGTAAATGTTGTGCTAAAAGGGGACCCAAGCATAAGGGACGTGCTCCATTGAAGTTATATCAAGTTGGTGCACCAATGGAAAGAGTAGCCGTCGACATTGCTGGTTCTCTGCCCCAAACTCGTGCTGGAAACAAGTACATTTGTGTGGTGATGGATTATTTCACCAAATGGCCTGAGGCATATGCAATACCAAATCAGGAAGCTACAACTGTAGCTTCAGCTATTAGTGATTTCTTCTTCAGATTTGGAATGCCATATGAACTGCATTCAGATCAAGGCCGTAACTTTGAATCAGCTGTGTTCCAAGAATGCTGCAAGTTGTTTGGAATCCGAAAGACCAGGACAACGCCATTGCAACCACAGTCTGATGGGATGATAGAAAAGTACAACTGGACACTGGGACAGGAATTGGCAAAGTTTTGTAATAGCCGCCAAGATGACTGGGATGTCTTACTCCCTCCTCTGTTGATGACCTATAAGACAGCAGAGCATGAAACCACTAGATACACTCCAGCAAAGTTGATGTTTGGTTGGAACTTCGGTTGCCAGTGGATCTGTTAACAGGACGCCCACCTTATGAAGAGTTGCCTGAGAATGTGTCAGAGTTTGTGAAAGTGTTATCGGAAACTGATGCGTCAGCGAGGTCACGTGACTAGTGTCACGCCATGTTTTCTAGAAATATCCTGTTCATTCGTGAATGCCCTAGCATTTACTAGATATATATTAGTCTGGTATATATATATATATATATAAGACGCTCACAACGTGACGGGACAACAGTGTAATGAGTAATTGAATGTATGCGGACAAAATATTGTTGGCCACGTAAGATATAGCGTTTGTTACAGCGCGACTGTTGAAAATAAGTGTATCGTAAAGTTGAATTCGGAAAGAATAAACCAGTTTTATTTAAGAAAGGACTTGTGTCGCTGAAGTTTCGTCGGAACGAATTTACGGAAAATTAACAAACGAACAGAGACGTAACATAGTGATAAAATTTGAATGCAGAACTACATGTGGTAATGTTTTGTTAGAGCGCAGTGGACTAGAATCACGAGATGACCTATGGTATTTTCGCCACATCTGTACTGTAAAAAAAAACTATTTCATGTAATATTTTGTATTGTAATTTCATATAGTTTTTAAAGACCCCAAAAATAAAATTCTGACTTCTGTTAACCAATTAAAAAAACATAAAATTTCGTATGTTAACTTGTACGACTGGTCGTTATTGTTAATTTATTTTATTAATTAATATGTGGATATTCGCAATTATTTTAAATAAGCATTTGTTGATGGTGTTCTCTTGTGGAAATATTACGTACTAAAATATTCTTCCTGAGGTTAAACTATTCGTTTCGTGAGACACGTGATCTGTGAGAAAAAGGTTGTTTTTACTGATCCATATAGTAAAGTTGTAGAACTCTCATTGTTTTTACAGTCATGGCTTGTAAAACAGTAACGTTGGACAATATGAACCCTAACATAATAAAAATGGAGTATGCAGTTCGAGGGCCATTGGTAATTAGAGCCAGAGAAATCGAGAAAGAATTGGAAAGGGTGAGTCTTCAAAGTTACACTGATGATATAGTATCAGTGAAAAGGTCCGACTCAGCATGTGGGAGACGGTGCTGAACTCGGGTTTCATTGGCACAAATGGATAAGAATGGTGTTACGTTCCCATTGAGACGGGAATACGTATAACTATAAATTATAATATATGATTTGTCAGTTATTGTTTTTTAAGTGTTAGTTCCTACTAATTACTAGAATTAACTGAATACGACTGAGTGAATTTTCACGAGTTTTTGAGTGACCCTGGTCTAGACTTTGAGATTGTTTCCGTTGATTGGCATTTTTGGCTGTTGCATAATTTATATTATAACTTAATTTTTATGGAATTGTAGAATCTCGTTATTTTGGCTGATCAGTCTTTTCTGACATTCAAGCAGTGATACCTGGATGATAAGATTGTTATACGAGGACAGGTTAAGATCTCTGAAAATAAAACTGTTTTATCTTGATAAATGAAGAGATATAGGGTTTCTGATTGAGGTGCTTAAGATTGTTAAGGGTTTTTTGTTGTGTTGATACATCATCGTTTTTTTTTTTTCATATTTAATGGTGAAAATGGTAGGACAATGGAACAAAAGTTTGGCAGGGTAAGAGGCATCTTCAATTAAGACAGTTTTATTTTTCTGATAACACAGTAGTTGGATTTTGGAGTGTTTACTTCAGATATGGTGGATGCAGTAAATTTAAGGGAAACTTGATAAATACATAAAAGATAAAGACCAGATTTGAATTTGTTTTATGGATTTGTTTTGTTTTGGTTAGTGGATGGTACAGTCTCCCTTGTTGTCATTAAATGTTGTGTTGACACATTTTATGAGCAAAGTTTATATTAATTGAAAAACTTTAAAATTATTTTGATTAGCCTACCTATAGCCAGATTTGATAACTCATTATTATTTCTTCATTTACAACTTAAGATTACAAAAGGTCAAAAGGGGCAAGGGAAGCATTTGACTCTCCCATTTTCTGGCAGGATCCTACTCTAAATTTAACTACAATACATATGCTTATATTCATTTCTGATCTCTCCTATATTAAGTTTCTTTATTGTTAGAGCAAAGATAAGCCATTGTATAAGCTGACCATCCTGTTAAAATAGTTACCATTGCCTAAACTTTAGTCCTACTGTCTGTACAGGCTGTAGAGTTTTATGTTAAAGTCACCTGGATTTATAAATTCCAAACCTTTAACTAACTTAAAAACTTTAATCATGCCCTTCTGAGCCCTTCTCTCTTGTAAAAACACATGTAGCATATTTTAACCCTATCTTTAAATGATAACTTTCCACATCTGGAATTATTCTAGTAGCCATTCTCTAAACCTTTTCAACACTTGTATATCCCTTTGTTAAATAAGGTGATTAAAACCTAATACTATATTTCAAATTAACTTTAACCATTCGTGATAGAGTGAATGAAGACTTTCAACTTGTATTTAATAGTCAAATCTTCTCTGCAAAACAACAGCATATACAGTACAATTCAGAATACCTATTAATTTAATATAATTTGCAAACGTTAGAAATTTACTGGATATTTCATTATCAGTGCTTGCTCCAGTATTTTATTCCCCACATAGTTGCCCTTGGTGATACTTGTTTCGTGACACTCTCCACTTACATCAATGGTGCCCTCTATCTTGATACTGTATATAAGTAACTTCTTCTGATAATATCATCACCTTTTCTTGACAAATATTCACTATTTTGATTTTTGTAATAATTATAATCAAAATTTTTTTTAGTTTAGCAGAAGGCGATATACAGCATGAATTCCTGTAATAATATGTCTGACAAGGAGGCAAGTCCAATCCTGCCTCTGATATCTAGTGTTGTTCAGGAATTGGGGGTAGGTCACTCTCATTTGAGGCTGTCTGTGACCTTATCCGTAGTGAGATGGAGACGTATATTTGGTCTGTTTCTGTGATGTTTTGTGGGAGGTTCTGAGGCTGCACTTGTTGACATTCCTGGACATTTTGGAGAAAATTTAGATTCCCTTTTTCTAGCGCCTTCTTTTGCTCTGTTAGCTTCTCCTGAGGCCAACTTGGATCAGCCGCCTCCGGCTCCTTATTTTGGGTTGGTGTGTGTGATGTTTTGGACCTTTCCCAGTTGCTTTTGAGTTAACATCTTCCTTGATGGTAGAAAGATCTGAGGATGAGTACTTAGTTCCATATCCATCCCCTGATATTGCCGTTGGTAGAAAGATCTGAGGATGAGTACTTAGTTCCATATCCATCCCCTGATATTGCCGTTCATGCAGGGAGGTTTATCGCTCAGTTACGTGAAGGGACAGCTATGTCTTGTCTACCACGTTTGTCAGAACAACATGCTTTAGCCTACTGCTGCCAGGTGGAAGCATATTTAGATTCTCAGAGATTAGACCTACTCCTGGAAGTGTGCAGTTCCAGAATGGAGTCTGTGGTCAACCTGAACAGATCACAATTTTCTAGGATTCATCTGCCCCTAACTCTGGTGCTAAGATATTTATAATCCCTACCCTTTTTTTGGAAGCCTGTCAGCAATTGCCACATCAGTTTGTTGAGGAGTTGTGATCCTTGTTAGCATCCACCTAGGTTCAGTTATCAGCTTCTGCACTTTTCCTAGTCTCTTGGCTGATATGCTGTTGGTACTTGTTGAGTTGAGATACATTGTTGGAGGGTATTTGTCTACCTGCTGCCACCCTCCATGAGTTACATGAGGCCCCCTTTATTTTTGTGGCCATTCCAGAGTCTTTGGAATCAAGAATTTATGTTGTCTGTCTACATTCATCCCTGAAATTTTTGGCTTCAAGACTTTCGTTGGCTTCTACAGGGATCATAGTTCTGCCCCTATATGAGTTTCTTGACCCCCAACATCTGTTCCATGGGCCATTGGTATCCAGAATAGATTCTGCCCATAGCCATGAGTTTCCTCTGCTCAGTTGAAACGTTGTCAGTGGTGACTACCATATGCCTTTGGGGTCTATGCGGGTTCAGCTCTGAGAATTTTTGAAAGTGTAGAAAACCTTTATCATGGATTCATGGGTACTACAGGTCCTTGCGTAAGGATTAGTAATTTAGTTCACATCTTCACCACCATTATCCCTTCAACCTGTGATGTTTCCACATCCGGTTGATCATCGGATTTTGGAACTTAGTTCCACAGCTATTGGAGATTTGTTGGTCAAGGGAGCAGTAGAGAGAATCTTTACAGTTCTTCCAGAGTTTTATTCCCATCTGTTTGTTGTACCCAAGAAAACAAGAGATTGGCATCTGGACATCGATGTTTCTTATCTAAATCAATTCCTAGCTCCTCCAAAGTTCACAATGGAGTCATTCCTCACTCTGCATTGGGATTTTTCACCAGGACTGTGGGTGACCAAGTTCAATGTCACTGATCCCTATCTGCATGTTCCCATAGCAGAGTCATCCTGCCACTATCTGTGTTTTGTGCACAAGTGTCAAGTGCTGCAGTTCAGGGTTCTACCCTTTGGACTAGCATCAGCACCATATATGTTCCACTGCATTGTAGGAGCTTTTTTTCATCACCTCCATTCCCTGGGCCTGTGCACACCATTGCATTGATGACTGGTTACGACTGGCACCATCTCTTCAGTTGGCAGAACATCAAACCCAGGTTCTACTTTCTGAAGCAATCAAGGCAGGATTTTTTATTACAGAAATTTATTCTCACTCCAATGCAGTATATTGTCCATCTCATTAGGGCAAACCTGACTCCCATCCAGCTCCATGCTATGGAACAGGCATTCTGACTCTTACTCAAGTCTCCTCCCATTGTGCAAATGGTTCTTTCTCTTCTAGGGATGTATGCATCTCTCAAATTCCTCATTCCTTTAGGATGAGCATACATGAGATCCCTTTAGTGGTCTCTATATGACCAATGGATAATGAACAGCAATCCTCTGGATTCCCATGTCTTCTTATTCAAGATCAACATTTTCGATCTTGAGTGGTGATTAGATCTGAACAATATTACAATAGGTGTTCCTCTGCCACCACCTCGTCCAGAGATCCATTTTTTTAAGGATGCCTCACTTCAGGAATGGTGTGAATATCTCAATGGTCAGGAATTCTGGAGTCTATGGACGGATGACGAGGCTTCCCTACACATCAGTGTTTTAGAACTTGTTGCTGTACAAAAGTTGGTGTCTCAAGATCTGGAATTGTTGAGTGGAAAAGTCATCATTCTTCACTCTGACAATTCCACAGTGTTGTCTTACATTTCCCGTCAAGGGGCACTCAGACAATTTCTCTTTGTTTTCGAACCTTCAATCTTCTATATTGGGCCCACTACCATCATATCATATCAAAAGTGATAAACATAGACCTCAAGATCTGTTTTCTACTTGTTAATTTTGAATCTTGTATTCAAGTTGCTCGTATTGTATTAAGTACATGGTATCAGTCTTTCATTAGATGAAAAAAAGAATACATACAGGCTTAATGACTTTCTATTGATAATATGTCTACTCTGGTTTTTAGTTTTCATTATGTCATTTTTTGAGGAAATTTGTATGTTTGAAACCATTATGTACCAATGGAACAGCTTAAATTTGTATGTTTTAAAACATTATGTACCAATGGAACAGCTTAAATTTGTATGTTTTAAAACATTATGTACCAATGGAACAGCTTAAATTTGTATGTTTTAAAACATGTACCAATGGAACAGCTTAAATTTGTATGTTTTAAAACATGTACCAATGGAACAGCTTAAATTTGTATGTTTAAAACATGTTTACCAATGGAACAGCTTAAATTTGTATGTTTTAAAACATGTTTGTACTAGCATGTTAGTGCTAAAAACGTTATACATGTTTGTACTAGCATGTTAGTGCTAAAAACGTTATACATGTTTGTACTAGCATGTTAGTGCTAAAAACGTTATACATGTTTGTACTAGCATGTTAGTGCTAAAAACGTTATACATGTTTGTACTAGCATGTTAGTGCTAAAAACGTTATACATGTTTGTAGCATGTTAGTGCT